ACAACACACACACACACACACACACACACACACACACACACACACACACACACACCTTTATCAGCATCACTGTTGGTAAAATGTAAAAGACGGGTCGTCTCGTAGCTCATATATTAAGTTATAGAAGAACATTGAGTGACTTTAAACCCAGAACTGCTGCCTTCATTACAGCATAACAGCATTATGGTGCTGCTCTCACACAGTGAAGAACAAGAAGCCACTGAAGGTGCTGCAGTTATTAATATCATCATAGGCAGGTTGCCCACATCCCCCCTCCTCCAACTCCAGAGAAAACGCATTAGATACAGATACATGACGCCCATTGTATTCATTAGATACAGATACATTACCTCCAATGTATTCATGACTATACGTAATAATCGTTTCATTGTGGTACAGGGCTACACCCGCGTTTTGGGAAGTGCGGTAATCAAAGGCAGTGATTCTGAAGTAGAAGAAGGAGGAACTGTCCGTCTCTCATAGACACTGTTAGTAATGCTGGACTGTAGCTGGATTCAGTTTGTGTTGATTAGTGTGGTCGGTACCCTTCCTGTAGTTGGGTTGTAGGCCGTGCCGATGTTGGACCCAGACTCTCTTGTAGACCGATGTAGTTTCAGTTTTGAAGGGTCCTACATCTCCTAAATCAGTCAAAGCAGCAGAGAAGGCCACCTGTTGTCTGTCTGTCTGTCTGTCTGTCTGTCTGTCTGTCTGTCTGTCTGTCTGTCTGTCAACACGGTGGAGTCGACTTACTATCAACTCACTCCCAAGCACACTTAACTTCATTCTAAAGACAATAAACACCATATAGTAAAATGAAGATTCAACAGGATACCCTCTCACTGGCTGTCACTCCGGCTTCCAGGGCTACCCTCTCACTGGCTGTCACTCCGGCTTCCAGGGCTACCCTCTCACTGGCTGTCACTCCGGCTTCCAGGGCTACCCTCTCACTGGCTGTCACTCCGGCTTCCAGGGCTACCCTCTCACTGGCTGTCACTCCGGCTTCCAGGGCTACCCTCTCACTGGCTGTCACTCCGGCTTCCAGGGCTACCTCTCACTGGCTGTCACTCCGGCTTCCAGGGCTAACCTCTCACTGGCTGTCACTCGGCTTCCAGGGCTACCCTCTCACTGGCTGTCACTCCGGCTTCCAGGGCTACCCTCTCACTGGCTGTCACTCCGGCTTCCAGGGCTACCCTCTCACTGGCTGTCACTCCGGCTTCCAGGGCTACCCTCTCACTGGCTGTCACTCCGGCTTCCAGGGCTACCCTCTCACTGGCTGTCACTCCGGCTTCCAGGGCTACCCTCTCACTGGCTGTCACTCCGGCTTCCAGGGCTACCCTCTCACTGGCTGTCACTCCGGCTTCCAGGGCTACCCTCTCACTGGCTGTCACTCCGGCTTCCAGGGCTACCCTCTCACTGGCTGTCACTCCGGCTTCCAGGGCTACCCTCTCACTGGCTGTCACTCCGGCTTCCAGGGTAACCTCTCACTGGCTGTCACTCCGGCTTCCAGGGCTACCCTCTCACTGGCTGTCACTCCGGCTTCCAGGGCTACCCTCTCACTGGCTGTCACTCCGGCTGATAGGCTATGATTTAATACTTTTTTTTTATTAAGGGGGGCCGAATGCCTGACTTCCCTTGCATTCAATGCTATGGCCCCCCCCCTTCTCTCTCTGATACCATGTCCCAGACAGACAGAACAGCAACACCTGTCATTCTCCTATTTGCTTATGGTCTTGCCTACGCCTAGCGAACCGTTTTTTAAAATTATATGAGAAAAATATATTCCATTTTATTTGGAACGGCAAGGCAGACAACATCAAACGGGCCTATTTATATAATGAATAGGAATTCGGAGGACAGAAATTATTAAATATTAAAGCATTAGACCTATCACTAAAAGCTTCAGTCATACAAAAGTTATACTTAAATCCGAACTGGTTCTCTAGCAAATTAGTAAGATTGTCTCACCCCATGTTCAAGAAAGGCCTTTTTCCCTTTATTCAGATTACAACCTCTCACTTTCAGTTATTTGAAAAGGAAATAATCTCCCAAATATCACTATTTCTAAAACAAGCCATAGAAAGTTGGTTGCAATTTCAATTTAATCCTCCAGAAACGACAGAACAAATAACGTAACAAATATTGTGGTTAAACTCAAATATACTAATTCATTAAAAAAAAAAAAAAGTATAATCTTTGTAAATGATATCATAGGTAGGACTGGTGGAGTTATGTCGCACATGCAGCTAACAAAAACATATGGAAATGTCTGCTCTACCCAAAATTACAACCAAATAATTGCAGCATTACCGCAAAAATGGAAGAGGAAAGTGGAAGGAGGAGAAAGTAAGGAACTTGTCTGTCGGCCTTGCATTAAAGACCATAATTGGTTAAAGAAAATTGTGATAAATAAAGTATACCAGTTTCATTTAAGGACCAAAGGATTGACAGCCGTCCCATATAGATTGCAAAATAGTTGGGAAGAGATTTTTGACGTACCGATTGCATGGCATAGTGTTTATGAAAAGATGCGCAAAATGACGCCGGATTCAAAACTTAGAATTATTTCTATTTTTATTATTACATAGAATTCTTGCTACCAATAGAATGTTATTTATATGGGGGATACAATCTTCCTAGCTCTGCAGATTTTGCTGCGAAGAGACAGAATCATTAGATTATTTGTTTTGGTACTGTCCATTTGTAGCTTGTTTTTGGACACAGGTCCAGGAATGGCTGAAGGATTGCAATATTTACCTGGAGCTAACCCTGCAGATAGCACTACTGGGTGATCTGAAAAGTCATAGTCAATCGATCAATAATATAATAATACTTTTAGCAAAAATGTTTATTTTTAATTTACTATGTGTAGAAACAATGAGAATAGAAGGGTTCAGAACTTTTGTGAAACATAACTGTACGGTTGAAAAATATATGGCAAATAGAAATCCTATATGGATGGTGTTAAGAGATAGATGGGTGGTGTTGAATGGAGCTGAAGGATGGGACTAATAACAACTAACTACAACTAATAACAACAAGATAACTAATGTACAGCATACTGTGTCCATAATAAGTATATAGGTTATAGGTTGGGAGCTTTTGTGAAGGAGCACAGTTAGAAAGATATGGCGTAACCTCCTGAGACCCAGCCCATTGACTTATGTCCACTGTAGTGAACATTTGAGTTTCATCCCTCTTCTTGGAATCTTTTGTGCAAGTCTCTTAATTCCTGATGTACTGTACAGAGGACATCCTGGGCTTTTCAGTGATATGTCATTTGATTGGCTGGGAGGCCGGGAACCGCCTCTATCTTTCCTTTCAAAATGGACGGCATAGGAACAAGCACATTTTATGGAAAGATGAGAGGTAAGTCAAATATTGTTTGTCTATGGTTTTGTTACTATGATAATCATATATTTTCTTGTTCATGAAGGTGTTAGGAATCATATATTTAGTTCTGATAGCAACTAAATTATGTATCTTTTGAAAGATTTGCCATTTTATGAATGTCAATTATAGTGGACATCAGGACTATCTTCATGTAAATAATGACTCCACATTGTCGTAGGGAAACAGAACTGAAGCAGAAAGAATTATTTACCGAATAGTGATGAGAGAGATGAGGATAAGTTTCAACCAGTGATACAAAACGGTGATGAAGAAGAGGAAGACAATGCAGAAGGCTCAGTTGAAGGGACAGATGCAGACACAGACACAGATACAGACAGGGATGAACAGGAAACTCGTCGCCCTCTGTGGGCCAGGAGTAACATGTATGTTTGATGCAGTTCCACAATTTTAAATTCAGCTGCATTGAGTATTTAAACTGTTATTACTTATCATTATTATTATTTTTTCCTTCATATCAGATTTGCACCTGTGTTACCTGGGCTTTCCTGGGCTTCCTGTGTGTCAAGATGACCCCTACAACACGTGCAGACTGGAGTCCAATTGAATACTTTTCACAGTACATTGACAACAAGGTCTTTGAAGATTTGGCAACATACACAAATCAAGAGAGCTGCAAATCAAAGGAGTGTGCATGAACACCACGCCACAAGAAATAAAAATCTTCTTGGGCATTTCAGTCCACATGGCCTGCCTTGGCTATCCCAGAATTAAAATGTTTTGGCCAACAAAACTAAAGTGCCAGTCATAAGTAGCAAAATGACTAGGGATAGATTCTTCAGGATAAGAAATTCCCTCAAGATTGTCAATGACCTGGCTGTGTAACAGAGGAAACAAAGAAGGCAGATATTCTTTGGAAAGTCAGGCCAATACTCGATCGTGTGCGCCAAGGCTGTCTCAGCCTTGCAAAGCCAGAAAGGGTCTGCATTGATGAGCAAATCATCCCATTCACAGGCCGTTGTCCAGTCAGGCAATATGTTCCCGGCAAGCCAAACCTACTGGCCTAAAGGTCTTTGTCCTTGCTTTCCCCCAAAGGGGTCTGATGCTTGATTTTGAAGGGTCTACCAAGGAAAAAACCCTTTTACAGTAAAGGGAGTTGGAGGCAGCAGTTCTACCATGGTAATCGTTCCAAACGGGGAAGCCACATTTTCTTTGACAGGTACTTCAAACCATAGATTATTGGATGCTTGCTGGAAAAAGGGCCTTTCTGCAACTGGACTATAATGAAAAAACCGTGTCCCAAAGTGTGCCAGTCCAGTAGACAAAACATTTTGAAAAAAAGGGGGGAGAGGAACATCAGTGTCAGTGGCCAGAAAGAGTCCTGAGCTGGCCATCACAAAATGGTTCGACAATAAACCAGTGCTCATGGCATCCACTGTACATGGGAAAGACCCCAGAAGACATCTGTACCAGATGGTCCCAGAAAGAAAAGCACCTGGTCCAGGTTTAAAAGACCAGCAGTAATTAAGCAAGTATAATGATAACATGGGTGGCGTAGATCTTTGTGATTCGCATGCTTAGCTTCTATCGTATGTCAAGCAGGACCAAGAAGTGGACATCGCGCGTGATCAGTCACTTCTTGTGTTGCCATCCCCAACTCCTGGATACAATACCCGTCTGACAGCAAAGCTATGCACAGACCATCCAAGAACACACATCAGTACCTGGACTTCAAACTACTCCTAGCTGGGGAGCTGTTGGAGAGTCCGGAACTGGAAAACAGCTGTGAAGAGAGTGAGGATGAGTATGAGCCACCATCTAAAATTAGGATCCCACAACCAGAGCCATCTGTGCGCCAGACTAGGAGCCAGGCACATGCCTGAGATGATGGATACCAAGCATGCAGAAAGATGCAGAAATAACCCGGGAAAACTGCAAAACAAAAAAGAATAATTACCAACAAGGTTTTTTGAACAAAAAAAAGAAAGCTTGGATTTCAACAAAAAAAAAAAAAATAAAGAAAAAAAAGAAAAGTTTGAAAAAAAAAGGGGAAAAAAAAAAAGTTTAATTATTTAGTTTAAAGAAGGGAAAAAAAAAAAAAACCCAAAAAAAACTGAAAATTATTTATGATTGTTTTTAAAAAAATAAAAAAAATTAAGCCAAACGGATTTGGGGCCAAAAAAATTTTTTTTTAAAGAAAAATACCCAAAAAAGTAAGGAAAAAAGGTTCGAAAATTATTTATGTTAATTTTTTCCAAAAAGTTGTATTTTTGGATAAAATAAACTTTCGCCCCCAAAATTGATTTTTTATTTAAAAAAAAAATTTAATTTTGGAAAAAAGGAAAAAAGGGTTTTAAAACACCAAATTGTTTTTTTTTTAAAAAAAATTTCCTGTTGCCCCAAAAGGGGACATCTGAAAAAAATAAAAATTAAAATTTTTAAAAAAAAAATTTGGGGGGAAAATTTTCTGTTTTTTAAAAAAAGTTTTTTAATAAAAAAAAATAGATTGGAAAAACCCAATTTTTTTTTGGGGTTGAAAGAAAAGGGAAAGGAAAAAAATGGAAAATGATGGGATAGGGTTTAGGGAAAAAGGGAATTTATGGGTTTTAAAAAAAAAAAATAATTATTTTAAAATTACTTATAAATTTTATTATATAAGCAAAAAAAAGGGGCCTTTAAAAAAAATTTTTTCCTATTTCCAATTAAATTTGGGGGGGGGAAAAGTAAAAAGGAAAAATTTTTTTAAAGGGAAAAATGTTTAAAATTTAAATAGAAAATGATTTTTTTTGAAAAGGACCCCCCCTTGGGTGGTTTAAAAGATTTTATTATAAAAATTTTAAAAATTAAATTTAAAAATTTAAAATTTAAAGGGGAAAAAAAAAAAAGGGAAAACCTTTTTTAAAAAAAACCCTGAACTCAAAATCCACACAAAATTTTGGGTCAAACGTCCCCCAAAAGGGGAACAACCCTGATTTTTTAATAAAAATTTTCCCTGTGGGTTTTGCCCCAAAAAAAGGGAAAAGCCATTTGGGGAAAAAAATGGCAAAATTGCAAAAACCCTGTTTCCCCCCCGCCACTTCTCCCTTTCCTTTCCCTCAAACATAAAGGGGGGGAAAAGGGCCCCCCAAAAAAAACCGGGACACCCACCCCCCCCCTTTTCCCTTTGGGGCAAGGAAGGAGCGGAGGGGGCCTGAGACCCCCCCTGCTCGGGGGGGCCCCCAAATGGGTGTTGAAACGGTCAGCAGTTGGGGTGGTTTTGGGGGGCCCCACCCCCCCCCCCGGGGGGTTTGCTTTCGCCCCAAACCGGGGGTGGCCTTTGGGGGCCTTTGCCAAGAAAACACCAAGATTGGCAAATTCGCCACTGGCGCCCTGTGCTCTTCACAGATGAAAGCAGGTTCACACTGAGCACGTTGACAGACGTGACAGAGTCTGGAGACGCCGTGGAGAACGTTCTGCTGCCTGCAACATCCTCCAGCATGACCGGTTTGGCGGTGGGTCAGTCATGGTGTGGGGTGGCATTTCTTTGGGGGGCCGCACAGCCCTCCATGTGCTCGCCAGAGGTAGCCTGACTGCCATTAGGTACCGAGATGAGATCCTCAGACCCCTTGTGAGACCATATGCTGGTGCGGTTGGCCCTGGGTTCCTCCTAATGCAAGACAATGCTAGACCTCATGTGGCTGGAGTGTGTCAGCAGTTTCCTGCAAGAGGAAGGCATTGATGCTATGGACTGGCCCGCCCGTTCCCCAGACCTGAATCCAATTGAGCACATCTGGGACATCATGTCTCGCTCCATCCACCAATGCCACGTTGCACCACAGACTGTCCAGGAGTTGGCGGATGCTTTAGTCCAGGTCTGGGAGGAGATCCCTCAGGAGACCATCCGCCACCTCATCAGGAGCATTCCCAGGCGTTGTAGGGAGGTCATACAGGCACGTGGAGGCCACACACACTACTGAGCCTCATTTTGACTTGTTTTAAGGACATTACATCAAAGTTGGATCAGCCTGTGGTGTGGTTTTCCACTTTAATTTTGAGGGTGACTCCAAATCCAGACCTCCATGGGTTGATAAATTTGATTTCCATTGATAATTTTTGTGTGATTTTGTTGTCAGCACATTCAACTATGTAAAGAAAAAAGTATTTAATACGATTATTTAATTCATTCAGATCTAGGATGTGTTATTTTAGTGTTCCCTTTATTTTTTTGAGCAGTGTAGATTTGCGAGAAAAAAAACATATGGGGGATTGGAAGTGATGCAGACAATTACAATGATGGAAGTTACAATCTATCTGCAATATTAAAGCTGATCTACCCCCTAAAAAATAAGAAATAAATAAAATAAATACAAATTCCATCTAGAAAAAAAACAAAATAAAACACCTGTCAATCTGAAATGACATCTCTTCAGAACTGATGCAATCTATGAGGCTCAGTCCCCTTCTTTATATACACTCACAACATAGTGAAGACAGAACGTTTCTGAACTTTTGCTTTTTGAGTGTAGTTAACTAACTGTTTTGTATTCACTGATTATATTTGAGTTAAGGCTAATTGATAAAATTGAAGTAATCAGGTTCCAAAGATGGTAAATATAAACATAGAGTTACATTCGAGCAATGGTCAGTTATAGTTTCTAAGTAAGGTGGACTTTGCTAAAGTCAAACATTTCAAGTATTGCAACTTATACTTATTAAGTGAATTTTGACCCTCTCTCCTCGCCCTTCTCCTACCCCAATTTTCTTCTCCCTCTCTCCCCCTCTATCTCCTCTCTCTCTCTCTCCTCTCCTTCTCCTCTCTCTCTGTCTCTCTCATCTCTGCCTCTCGCCTCGGCTCTCCATCTCTCTCCTCATCCTCTCGTCTCTCTCCAATCGTCTCTCTCTCCTCCTCCTCTCTCCTTCTCCTCTCCTCTCTCTCTCCCTCCTCATCTCTCTCTCTCACGCACCACTCTGATGAGGAAGTAGGTCTAATTACACTAAAGAGGCAAAAAAAAGCGAAGGCCATGCTATTTCTGCACCATAGTCTACATACTCAGTATGAGCCCTTGTCTGTGTCCCAAAAGGCACCCTATTCCCCACAGGGCTCTGTTCAACAGGGTTGCACTCCACATAGGAAATAGGCTGCCATTAGGGACGCAGCCCTTCCATAATATATCGTAGATACTTACAGAAAGTGCAGACAGAGAGAGGAGGAGGGAGGGAGGGAGGGAGGGAGGGAGGGAGGGAGAGAGACAAGTGCATGGATGACACTTTCGATGATGTAGCGCCAACCTACTGTAGACCCCCTTTAGCGGTGCTTACGCTTATGTAATTAAAGTAAAAATAAATCAATAAAATAGCCTAACCGATGAATGACTGGGGTGGGCACTCGCTCTGGATAAGAGCGTCTGCTAAATTACTAAAATGTAAATGTGGGCCAGTTGGCTGTGTGAAGCATGTGTCCAGGTCGTTTTAGTGAGAGATAGTGGTTTGGCAGTGGGCTGGAGCCAGGAGACTATTTTCATTAAGATATCTAAAAGGCTAAATGCTGTATGGGCTAAATGCTGGCTGTGGCTAACACCGCTTCCCTCTTCATGAAATTAATCTTCTTCCCCTCCCCTTCTCTCCTCCCCTCTCTCCTCCATCAACACTTCCTCTTTCATCAACTCAACCTCCTGCTTCCCTCTCTCCCCCCGATCAACCCTCCCCAGACCTCTACTCCTCTGTCTCTCCTCCTTCTCTCCCCCGATCAACCCTCCCCAGACCTCTCCTCCTCCGTCTCTCCTCCCTCTCTCCCCCGATCAACCCTCCCCAGACCTCTACTCCTCTGTCTCTCCTCCTTCTCTCCCCCGATCAACCCTCCCCAGACCTCTCCTCCTCCGTCTCTCCTCCTTCTCTCCCCCGATCAACCCTCCCAAGACCTCTCCTCCTCCGTCTCTCCTCCCTCTCTCCCTCTCAGCATCTGTTAACATGAATCATTGAGTTCCCCGACTAATAAAACACACCCAGATGGTTCACCCATTACCTATGAGCTCCCTGACTAATAAAGCACACCCAGATGGTTTACCCAGTACCTACCCATAACTCTCTACAGATGCCCATATCTTAATTTGACCGAGTTTCTCACAGTCGGAAAATAATCCTGCAGCAACAGGAAATGTGAATTGTAATGTGGATTATACTGAATGGAAATGTTTTGTTGATGGGTTGATAAGTTTTTCATTAGGGCAAATCAAGTTTTACATTTTTAAGTGGAAATTATGAACTTCAGAATGATTTAATTAAGATGCAACATCTCTATATCTATGTTCCAGTGTTCCAAGCCAGGATCTAATACAGGACATATTTTCTGAAATACTTGAGGTGTGCTTGGTCAGGTACTGTGATCTAATACAATAGTCCCAATAGTGCAAACTGTTCATGCTAGCCAAGCTAATGAGCTAACGAGCTAACGAGCTAACGAGCTCACCTCCATTGTCTTCTGAGAGGTGGCTTCACCTGTACGCATTGCTCGTCCCTCAACTGACAAACGTCTTCGCCCTATCTGACGTAAGACAATAGATCATTCTAATATCTGAAATATGTATTCAACCCATTACGTGTCAGGTCAAATCATCCCTTTTGCTCATGGCAGCGCTCGGCTCGCTTGCACACCCTGCTCACCGCCGTCGTGACAAAGCGGCGCCGCAGAGCAGCGAGCGGGCGCGCGAGCGCCGCGCGGGCGCAGCGGCAGGGCGCTTGCGGGGGCTCGCGGTCCAACAGCGCGCCGCGGGCCACGAGCGCGCGCGAAACCGCGGAGCCGTGCGGGCCTAGCACGAACTCCGTCTGAACCGCGTCGGTCGCTCGACCCCCCGCGTGCTGCGCTCAGTATGAACGCAGTGCGCTGGCTTCAATCTAACCCGTCTCACCTCTATCAGCGTGCGCTCTAACTCTGCTTCTCTCTTAGACTCTTCATCTACTCTCTCTCTCTGCTTCTCTCTAACCTCTATCAGCTTTCTCTACTAACTCACCTCTACTATTAGTCTACTCTAGCGACTAACTCTACTACCTCTGCTCTCTCTCATCTATCTCTCTCTCTCTAACCTTCTACAGCTCATATCCTCTACTTCACTCTTCGGTCCAACATCCTATCTCTCTAACACTATACAGTAGATACGGTATACGACGTACAACATGACTGTTTTCCATAAGAAGACTTTAGCCCTTGAGACAATTGGACTGGATTGTGCATGTGTCCATTCATGTGTCAAGAACTGCAACGCTGCTGTGTTTTTTTCACGCTCAACAGTTTCCCCGTGTGCATCAAGAATGGTCCACCACCCAATGGACATCCAGCCAAGTTGAC